CACTACAAGAAAATAGTAAAATCGCGACCCAGAGATTGCGACGGTTATACTATAACCGTCTCCGCTTCAACATTGCGACGGTTTACATGGCAGTTCCCATTAACTGTCGTTAAATTGTTAAATATTGAGGCAGTTTAGTAGAGTTGTCGCAATGTATAAAGAATGAGCCACAAAACGAAAAGCTTCAATTTTGTTCGCGCCTGTTTCACTGAAATGCTCCGTTTTCACAAAACCCTCCTCCTTCATTGAGACCGCAGCCCACCCCGCCGCACTGCGCACATTGTTGACTACGCTCCTCTACAACAAAAGCTATTGCGCTCCTCTACAACACAAGAGCTATTCCACTCCTCTACAGCACAAAACCCTGGTACATATCTTTTTTCTCTTTTTACCCCCAAATTGGTAGCATTTATGTCTCGACTCAAAAACCCCCAAACACGAGAGTCTTTCATAACTCGCCAAACCAAAAATCAGTTTATTTATGTTACAATGCGAGAGGGAGCGAGAAATACACCTTACATTTCATGGTTAGGGTTGCCTTGTTTTTTGATATCAATGTTTGGGGTTTCAATTTACCTTGATTCCCTATGGTGTGAACCGTTCTCAAGTCTTCGTAGTGTTCCTTTGTGATGGTTAGTGAATAACAATCTATGTTTTTACGTGTATGATTGAACAATTTGAGCTTTTTCCTTTCATGTGATGTTCATTTCTGTTGACCCATAAATTAAACGGTGCAAAAGTGTATAAATACCTGTTAATCAGCACCAGACAGACATGCATATGACAGCCAGAACGGTGAGTTCAATGAATATATATAAATATTCCAATAGAATATAGACCACAGGCTCACTTTTGTAATAGAATAAAAATATGTTTTAAAGTAGAGTAATACTAATGAGAATATATTTTAGTTTTTAAGAAGATCATTTTCTCATTTTAAATTAAAAAATAGCTTTACATCAAGTGTTGGGTTTGCTTGTTTCCCCATGTGAATTGGTCTGTCTTTTTCATGATTGTAGTTTTACAAAGGAGCATCTTAATTTTCTTGGTACTAAACTCATTGATGATTAAAATCTTATTTTCTATTTATTCAACAATGTTAGGTCCTAGCTGTTCAGGAGAATAGTGGACAATTTCAGGGAATTGGAGTCTACAAATTCCCTACTGGAGTTGTTGAGCAGGTAGATGTGTTCAATATCTTTGTTATAAAGAAATAAGGATCTATACTACGTGCATATAATCTACTTGTTCAATTTATGTAGGAAGAGGATATTTTTGTAGTAGCAGTAAGAGAGGTCAAAGAAGAAACAGGGGTAAGTAATCTCATTGTTGTACCAATTAAATATAGGTTATTCCTGAAATTAATTATATGATCACGTGTCAGTAAAGTTTACTGTTGTTATAAGCATAATTATTTTGGGTTCTCTCAATTTTTAGGTTGATTCAGAATTTCTGGAGTTATTAGCATTTAGGTAGCATGTTTATATGAATATATTTTGATTCATGTACTAAATGTGATGTTCTAATGATTTAGGTAGCTAGCATTTAGATATTAGAATTTAGGTAGCATGTTTATATGAATATATATTCCATGTATCTTCCACATATCTTTTAAAATATTCTGTGCTTATGGATAGTAATAAACTAAAAATATCATAATTTTTGTTACTCTTTCCACTGTGAAGGTATCATTTAAAAACTTTCTCTGCCCATTAAAGCTTTCTCAGACAAAAAATATGTACCATCAATTTGAATTGTTTTCTTTTATAATCCATGTTAGATTAAAAATCATTCATGTATATTTACTTAAACTATATAATGTTAGTGTTAGTAGTAGTTGATTCATGACATAGTATCAAAGCTTTTATGACCATGTACTATCAATAGTCTTAACCACCAAAATTATCCTGAACGTGCAAGAACCATATACCAATTTTTTAAAACTAGTTTGAATCCCATTCATTAATTAAGGTTTAATTCCATTTTCATATTTATTGTCTGCCCTCGGGACGGTGTTGGGGATCCAAAATGTTATGCTCAAATAGGAAAGATATCTAATGAGTAAACTATTGACTGTTTTGAAATTTTTAATGTATTTTGTGCCTAAAACACTGGTAATGTAATTAATTTTATGCATGCTAATTGAGTAAGTGTCTAATTTGCATCATTGTTACTTTACCAACACTAACACACAAACAACACAAATGTCACACACATGTTGAATATCATAGTTCATTAATCAGTTATACACATTAACACACTCTACATCAATCATGGAAGGAGGAAGCCATCAAGTGTCCTCACTCTAATAATGCTATGACCTTATTGCTTTCATAGGTAAGAAATATGTTATTTCTAGAAAAGCTGAAGTAAGCCACTTAATGGAGACCATTTGATGAAGGACCATCAGAAGAGATCACATATTTGAAGACCATTGCGCCTTTAAATAGGTCCATGGTTTGGAGGCTAGAAGAGGCTTCTATAAAGGAGTAGCTTCGTAGACCTATGCTATTCATGAGCATTGAGTACAATTCCTCTTATTAGTCCCTTTGCTTCCATTGTATATACATTGTACATAGTAGTACTTGTATAAGTATATTTTGCCTTTGTATTGGTGAGGCACCCTTTTCCTTTTCTTATAGGTCATCCCTTTAGGATTTTAAGGTATGTTTTTTGGAGACTTTTGTTCCATTTGACCTTGTATTAAGGGTCATTGTTTTTCATATTTTTAGTAGTAAAAGTGGAGTGACAAATAGTAAAGTGTGTAGGTGAAGTTAGCAATTGGGCCTGTAGTGAGCCTAGGTTAATTTTTACATATTGAACTTGTTTTGCTCCATTTAATCAAAGGAATTGATTTATCTAGGTCTCACCTTCATTAGGTAAACCTAACTAAGCCAATTCCAACATTTTTGGATTGGATTAATTGGAGAAATACAAGCTTGGCTGCTTAGCTCTCTATGGCCGATTTTCCTTGTCCTAGCTTCTCCCACACACTTGGTTAGTTTGTGCTACGAGCTTTTAGCTTGGCTTGCTCCACAAGCTTCCAAGAGACTAGGACGGTTAGCTTGAGTGCAAGGAGGCTAACCATGGTTCTCCTTGAACTATGGTTACTCTAGCTTGCACAACAAGCTACCTTCTCCCTATATAAGTTTTCTCTTACATTTTGTAAACACTTTTTGATGATATTATAGGGAATTGCCGAGATTTGACTATGAATTCTCTCTTCCAAAAAGTTTAAAACCTCTTTGATTTCAATCGAATTCTCTTATCCTCTTTATACAAGAGTGTGGTGAGTTTTGAAGTGATTCATCTTCTTCTAAGAAGTGGCATAACTTGAAGAGTGTTCTTCACCATTCAAGGTGAAATCTGAGGTCTTTTCTACCGCAGGAAACTTTGGAAAAGCTTGAGGAGATCCAAGGAGCCAAAGGTCTATGGAGGAGCTTGGAGGAGAAGCCATATCCATCCGGTTCTTCAACAAGTTTTCCATCACCATCATTAATATGAAGTATGATGGCATTAGTGGTGTTAGGCAACACATTATGAAGATGATGAATATAGTTAAGAATCTTAGTGACCTTGGTTGCCCTGTAACTGATAAATTTCTTATTTATCATGTCTTGAATTCCTTGCCTAATAAGTTTTGATGTTTTGAAAACCTCGTGCAACACCCAATAGGAAAAGTGGGACATAAATATTGTTAGCTTAAAAGAAAATCTTAGATCTCTCAAGTTATAAGTTTTTTTTGATAACAAACATAGAAGTTTTTCTACAGAAAAGTTTTTCAAATCATTCAACAAGATGAATGAGTATAAAATGAATGTACTAAGACAATAAGTTATCTTAACATAAAAAGTATAATAGAAGAAATAGTTTGTGTATATGATTCCTTAACAGATCAAAGAAATGCAGATTCCTTGGTACCCACAATAACAAAAAGAGTAAGAAGACATATTTTTGTCAAAAAAAGACAAACAGATCCCTTGAAACATGAAAATGCTTAGAAAAAACTATTTTAAACTAACAAGTGCATTGCCCCACTAGTTTGGTACCTAAAAAGTGATAAGTAGATTCTTTGATTAAATAAGAAGTGACAATTTGGTGAAACACATTTAATACGAGTAATTAATGCACCAACGGACATTTCTCTCCTCAAGGAACAAAAATTGAAGATAGACAAAGCAAGCATGTGAGAAAATGCTCAAGGATTTACAATAATCATCTTCATTGAATGCACATATATAAGAAAGCTTGAAGATTCAGAAAGAATGTGAAGTGAAGGAGTAGAGAAGTCAAACAAGCGAAGCAAATGCATCATTGTTACTTTACCAACACTAACACACAAACAACACAAATGTCACACACATGTTGAATATCATAGTTCATTAATCAGTTATAAGCATTAATTAGTTATGAAAATA